ATTGAAATGTATGTTAAAGAAAGTCAGAACAACAAGAAATATACATGCATATCCTATTTTTGGCCATCCGAACGAATTTTAAAAATTCTATAAATTTTTTTTATGTTTGCAATGCAACCGTGGACGCCAGCTGGCAGGGAAACTTGCAAATTCCTGCAAATTTGCGTTCGTGCAGATATTTGCAAGTTTCCCAATATGAGAGAGAATTTGAGAGAATTTTTTTTTAATCTCTCTGATATTTTGAGTGTTGGATAATTCTTGCTGGATTTTCGACGAACAAACCTAATATTGGAGAAGTGATAGTAAATAACACCAACTACCTAGACAGCTTTGAAATTGCGAAAAACTTAAACAATTTTTTTGTGCACAGCATTTTGGAAATACATGCCAATATAGAGTGTGTAAACTATGACTATTTTGAGCAACGAATTCCATTCTTCAAATTGCTAAAAAATTTGAGCTGAAAATTGGGTCAAACAACCTACAATCTGAAGGTATTATTAAGGACTCTGCTGATTATATGGGATATTTCTATGCCCTACTAATAAATAAGAGTATCCAAACAGGATCAGTGTCGGAGAATGGAAAATTTCGTCAATAGTGCCCATTAAGAAAGTTAAAAAAGGGTTAAAGCGCAGGAACTTAGGTCCATCAATACTCTCCCTAGTTTGGAAAACATGCTAGAAACCGTTGTGAAAAACCAGCTACAGTACTATGTGGAATCCAATAAAATACTCATAAAACAATCTGGATTCAGAGCTAAACATTTTTGTGAGACTACGTTGAATCTGGTGCTATCTCAATGGAAAGAAGATCTTTATTGATCTTAAAAGAGCATTTGAATCAATTGATAGGGTTCAAATGTTGGATAAGCTAAAATACATTGGTATAAAAACAGAGCTTGACTGGTTTAGAAGCTTTCTATGTAATCGTAGGCAACAACCAATAGTTTATTCAAAGATGTCTAGTAAGATAGCCGTAGACATCGGCTTACCACTGGGCTCAGTTTTGGCACCCCTACTCTTTAATAACTATATATAAACGATATAAAAAGTTCCCTCCAATATTATAAATTAAAACTCTTTGCGAGTGATGCCTTGTTAACGATCAGTGATAGGGAACTACCAAATGCGATTGTCAAAATGCAAGAAGATTTTAATTCTTTGTATCAATGGCTGTGTTCAAATAAACTCAAACTAAATGTGAAAAAGACAAACTTTATGATATTGTCCAGAGCGACAAATGTTGACTCCTTAAGCCGTGAATTAAAGATCAAAGATGGGAGATGAAAAGTGTCAAGTACCTAGGAATATACATAAGGTTTGTATATTAAGAAATAGGCAGTAATACGCAGAAAGAAGTTCTGTCCCAATTCTCCGGCATCACAGTAAGGAGAATTGTGAGTAGTAAGGGTTATAATCCCTAAGCGCGGCCGAAGGCCTCCTACGCAGAAAGAAGTTCTGTCCCACTTCTCCGGCAACATAGAAAAGAGAATTGTGAGTAGTAAGGGTTATAATCCCTAAGCGTGGCCGAAGGTCGCCTACGCACAAAGAAGTTCTGTCCCACTTCTCCGGCAACATAGAAAGGAGAATTGTGAGTAGTAAGGGTTATAATCCCTAAGCGTGGCCGAAGGTCGCCTACGCAGAAAGAAGGTCTGCCCCACTTCTCCGGCAACACATAATCCACGTAATTTTATCGTATATCTACGGTAATTTTCACCGTGGATCTACGGTAAAAGTTACCGTGACACGTGTGTGTAGACACTGCATAAAACATTGACGTACAGGTCAATAGTAGAACCTCACTTTATATACTGCCCTACGATTTTCTTCCTAGCGGGTGACTCGCATATAGATAAGGTGCAAAAAATGCAGAGCCGAGCGATGAGATTCATCCTCAACAAACCGTACGACACACCAACAAGATGAATGCTTGAAACTTTGAATTGGTTAAGCGTGAAGCAACAGGTTTTTAACACGCTATGAAATTTGTAAACAATATTAAGAAGGGCAACCTGCCGGATTATCTTAACGATAATCTCCGATATATAAATGTGACCCATATATATTTGTTTAGAGAGATTAACAGCTTCAGACTCCCGAAGTATAGAACTGAAGTGGACAAGAAAAATATTTTATATAAAGGCTTAAAGTGCTGCAATGAATTACCAGAGGCTATAAAAAATTGTGAAACTTGGCCTTTCCGACCGCCTAGTGTACATTAAAAACCAAAGATAATAAAAAATAAATGGGCGGATTGGAAGCTAGGCCTTTTCAACCGTCACGAAAGCGCGACTGGGCGGATCGGAAACTCGGCCTTTTCGACCACCCAGGAGATATCAATATACGGAGAAACCGAAAAAGTATAGCGCGGATTGGAAACTTGGCCTTTCCAACCGGTTAGCTAGCCTCCGGCCAATGGCATGCTTTTATATTAATATAAAAGTTTTGCAGTGATAAAAACAAATTTATTTAAAATTTCCGTAGAGTATATCATAGTTAATATTTAAGTTTTAAGTCTTAATCTAATTTTAAGAACGCTAAATCTTTGTTATAAGTCTAAATAAATAAATAAACTAGATTAATAGATACTTTCCCAATGAACATACATAAATACATTAATATCGCTTATTTACTACAATAGTGTAAACATAAAAATACAAATATTTAGCTAAGTATGCAGAACTTAATGCTAAAAGCCTGATTATGACAACTTAACTTAACGGAACTTAGAAATTAAAAATCAAAATGAAACAGATTTGGACGTGGCATAAGCAACATGCATTTTTAAGTGAGATCTTGCAAGTTATGTTATTATTATGTAATAAATTACTTACATATCCAACTCTTGGTATCACTGACATTTTATTCCGAAATTCAGTGTCTGGGTATGACTTTTTGCACTATTCGACTATGTACTTAGATTACAGTTGTAGTCTCAAAATCAGTACGTGGAACCAAAAAAATTAAAATTGTAGAGTTCATCACTTGCTTAGTATTGGACGGGCATCACTGAAATCATCCGATTTAGTAGATACATTTTCACAATCCACATTTCCCTTCATATTTGCAAAATATGTATAAAACAGGCATAAAAACAATAACCATAATGAACGATTTGCAAATGCACTCAATTGTATGTAAAATAGATTCCCCTCGTATGCACGCAAGCTTATGTATATACACAGATATGTATACAGCTGGTTTTGCTAAATATTTACTCTGCACACTTCTTCAAAATAAATTTGGATTTATTTTCTTAAAAATATTTGCGCTGTTTATCTATTATTTAGCTTCAAACAAGCTTGAAGCTTGTCCACCGACACCAGTTGCTTCAACTTATTTTGTTTTGTTTTTGTTACTATCCACGATTAGGAATGGGTAACACTGCGCTGCACGAAGCAATTGCGCTAACACCGTAACTGGAGTTGCCACGTCAACAGCAATATATGAAAGCGTTAGCGCCATTTACACCAGAAACACGAGACGCGCATAATTCGCTCTTATTCTTTGAAAAATTACATGTGCTAAAGCTAAAAAAATCGCGCTATGGTTACCCACGACGGAGCTAGGAATGTTCGATATTTAAGAAAGTATCGATATCATGAATCGATTGGGCCCTGTCACACGGTCAGTATTTATTGACGTGATCCAAGTATCGCGATATTTATTGACGGTGTAGCATGAACGAAAGACACAAAATCATGATTCAATAATACAAGGTTAGATAATTATTGACAGCTGCGGTTTGACACTCCCTTACAAAAGGTTGCATTTACGAAGGACAGAGAAAGGGCAAGAATGCAATCCCTTGTTGCGAAAATGGTAGTCGAAATGTACTCAAAGTAGGCAATTAGTAGTGAAATTCCTTTCGTAAATTCTAATGTATTTGCAGGAAATCTGGCATTTTAAACGAAATGTTGAACGTAATATTGATATATCTACGTGAATTACGTAATTTATATGCTATTTAGCCGTATAATAACTGCAAAATGACTCAAAATTAAAATAAGACTACTATGAGATTGATGTAAACATCCAATGCTTAGGTTTTCATCAGTTAAATATGCTTCATATGCATATACAAATAAACATATTGCACAAAAGCTTATACTTTTATTTCACGCCAAAGCTACACTGTTTCCATGTAAATTTGCAAAGAAGCAACACGTTCCCACTGCTAAGGGAGCGGTGCGAGAGAGACAACTGTCAGTTTATCGAACCTTGTATTAGGCTTTCTGCTCATTGGTCGTCCAATCATAGTTGAGTCATAGTTATCGTCATGAAGCAACGATTACATGACGATTACACTTCTGCACACTTGGTCGTGATAATTCAATTCATTTGGCGTCTAAAAATTCACTTGGAGCAGGTATTTTCTGTTTTTTTTGGTTGATATTTTCGCGAAATATTTACAAAAACCTGCAATTTTTTAAATATAGACTGTGCTGCAACATTTCTAGACGTAATTTTCCAGTAATATCTCTTCTTTTCTTTTCCTGGAATGTGTTTTGTGTATGCACACAGAGACTTAATACAATTTCGTCATATTTTTTAGTTAAAACGCTCATATTTATTAAATTTTAATGCAATTATCCACTTTTTAATAATTTCCACAGATTTTTAAAAAAAAATACTAATTTTTATACAATTTTAATGCAAATATTAACTTTTTCACTAATTTTCCCCCATAAAATGTAAACAAACAATGCGTGCACAACGATTAGCAAACGACAGTGCCGTACTTATCCGTTTCTGCATCTTCTACGATTTGCCGATAACTAGCCGATAACGACAAGTGTGCAGATCTCCTTTGAAATGCATGTGCTCGGCTCAAAATTTCAGGGCGAGACGATAACGCAACTATGATTGGACGACAAGTGTGCAGATAGCCTTATTGAATCATGCACAAAATCACGTAAGAACAAGAGAGTGAAAAAAGTCGATTTTTTTAGCGGGTTCTACGCCATCTTGTCTCACTGGAAAACGAGCGAAAAGTAAACAAAGAAAAGAAAACAACGAAGACCAAAATTAGCCAAAATTATTGTCAGCCACTTTAAGCGCACAATTTAGGTAAAATGATGCAACAAAATGCTTTAAAATGTGTTGTCTTGTTGAATTAACTCTTCTTTACTTGAATAAAAGTGTAAAATAGTGGTGCTTGAGATGTAAACAAACGCTCAGCTGACGAACCCGCTTTCGCAAACTTTTTTCTTAAAACCAGTTACAAATACAACGTCGCGTTCTTACGTGATCTTGTATTTTTGGTTCATGGAAGGACAGCTTGAACCAAAAATATAAGATCACCTAATCAAAGAATCAAGAAAAAAGTATATTTCTGAGTGTTTTTGACATCTGCCTAAGAATGAAAACAAACGAAGAAAACGAAAAAGGCGCGGTGATTGAGTGCGATTAAATTGGTATTTATTATAAAATATACCAAGTGAAACTTGATGACAATTAGCAAAAAAAGTTCATAAAATATGGTTTTCATGATTGAAAGTGTTTTACAATCGCATATCATTACCACGGGTCGATTTTTCAATGCCAACGTTCTGGCCACAAACGTGCACCCACTTTTCACGCAAATTTACGCCTTTTGGCAAACCAAACATACGCACAAACTTGTTCCGATCCCACAGCACTTTATTTTATATCATAAATATGTAATAAACCAAAATTTATAATTAAAATCGCTGCAGAAAACACATTCAATCGCTAAAAAATCACTACGAAGAGGTAGAAGACGGTGTAAACAAAACCGAAAAACGTCAAAAACGCTACGAAAACTTTTTTCTGAAAATCGATTACAAATACAACGATGGCTGATTAGGTGATCTGTAGTCGTTGGTTCATGGAAGGACAGTATGAATTACAACAAATACATCATTTCGACGTTCTCATTTCAATGGCCAAATATGCATCACCATTGAATTCGCCTTGAATGCAGCGATAAGCAGCGCCAAATAGATATATAAAAGATTCATCGATATTTTTGATCGATAACAATCACTGTGAAAGTACTCGATACAACACAATTCGCCATACACCATGCAGATATTTATTAGAAATTTAAAATTTTAAGAATTTTAACATAAATTGTTTATCTTCTTCCATGAAAACTATTCAAATATGACGAAGTTTCACCGTACACAACACACATGATTCAATAATTAATGGTTTACTCAATAGTCTAGGTTCAGGCGGAGAAACTTTTGTCGCGACAACTCGTTACTTGTAAGAGAGGGGCAGACGAGGAAAGGGGAGGGACACCGAGTTGCTCGTGCTCGGGCAACACGCTTTGTGCTCTCGTTCGTCTGAGTAATTCTAATTGGCCGTTCACGGCTGACAACAACAATTGTGTACAAAAGAATTTCTCTGTGCGAACGTGAAGGGCAACACCAAAAGAGAAATTGCCGAAAATGGGCGTGTTTGAATCGGTAACAAACCCTACAAGACGCGAATGACAGAAACTCTAACACATTCTCAACGAAAACTAACACATATGCAAAATTTTATATGCCAGTTTGGCTCCGTAGGGAATGACTGTCATTTGATCGATCAAGTGAGTGTCAATGCTGATAGAAGTAACGGTAGTTGGTTGCCATAGTAACCACAAGATTCACTAGGGCTGCATTTTGCGCGCAACAAAAGTAGTTGTACCTGCCAAATAAAGTCGAGTACTGAAGTACTTGGATATAATTTTGAACTTAATTAGTTTAATTTTAATTTTATCATTATTCGACCCCGCTCATAGCAATAGTAAGTAAAAATAAAAGTTTTCATTGTGGTATGACATTCTTTTTTTATATAAACGTAATAAATAAAACCGTATTATAAAGTACTTGGTACTGAAGAAGTTCAAATGCGCACATCAACAGAAAAAAGAAAGACGCAAAACGAAAAGATGTTCAAAACTTAAAGTGCTGTGGAAAAATAAAGATAAGTTTTATAAAATATTTCATTTAAAATGAATAAAAGAGCTTTTAATACCGCCATGAGCAAGAAAAAAGGATTTACGAATCCAATATTAAAAAATTGCATCACATCGCTAGTTCTCTACCACTGCAGTCCTATTGCGCTGTGGATTTAATAGAAACAATATTAAAAGATCCAGAGTATGCACAAGCCATGATAATGAATTATATTATGGAATACATATTTCACGTTCTAATTGCTGTACATACATTTTTCAAAGGTCAATTACATATATCAAAAACAAAAGGTGTGTCTGAGGACGTAGGCAGCGTCATTAAACATTTATTTACGGACGAAACACATTGCTGCAATTCAACTGGGACGGAAGATGGGAGAGAAAACCACTGAACAAACTCATACTGCTTGATGTTCGTAAGACATTAATTATTTATCATCTAATATTTTAATGATTAATAATTAGGTCTTAAGATTTTATGAAAATA